AAAAAATTGAATAATTCAATAAAATGTCATATGTAATAATAAAACCAAAGATGACAAGAAAAGTTATTAGCAAGCTGTGAGTGCAGGGGATTTTACATGTCCTGAAATTTTACATTCAACTTAAGTATGCAACAGGTACATGGTATCAAATATGTTTTTCCTTGATGGTGTAAAATTTTATCATGCAGACACAAGGATTCATTCACCTTGGGAGTTTGCTAGACTCAGCCCAGTTGTTGCATTATGGAGGCAAGGATGGGTGTCATTCTGAAATGACTGAACCCTGTATGCAGGCAGCTGGACTCTGTTACCTTCAGAGGAGGTCCAGTGAAGAACCTCCCTTGCTATCAGCGAGTTTGCCTTCCTGCCATGACTGTCCCGTGCCCTTCCCTCTCTGCGAACAATGTCCGCCCACCCAGCCGCATGCCTGGCCAGGAGATGCACGCTCCATCCACTGCTTTGGGCCGCGGGGTTGGTTGGAAGCCCAGCCAGGATGCACACCCTGCTTTTTGTGACAGTACACATTGCTGCTAAGTAGCTGGCAGGCTAGGAAAGATGCTCTGCAGCCTGCACCAAGCCCTTGAGCCGTATGTTGTGCAGGTCTGTTCTCCAACTCGATTTTGTTTATTTCTCTGCATGTCAGCGGTAGGATACGGAACTGTGATCTCTTTTCTTATTTAAATATATTAATGTATTTCAGAGGCAGAGGGCTTTTAAAAATCATTATTTCATTGGTATGTTATCACTTATTTTTAATATGAATTTTTATATATGGTAGTTAGTCATCTCAGAGTAAACAACAGATGTATACACCTATATTATGGTTTAACACTGACATTACTATTAAACAATAATAAGAAAACATGTCAGAAACTTTAATGATTAATAAATGTGACAAGAAGAAGGAACACTCTAAGTTCAGTTCTGCTTTCAGAAAAATGACTGAAAAAGGCACATACTTCTTTTCAGGACATTCTAAAATGCCAAAATTCCTGATCAGACAAGTCTGTATTTGCTGCTGTATATGAAAACTAATTTAGCACAGAATAGATTTTTATTGTTTTTTACCTCCAGACCATGAATTCCCCTCTTTCTGGGGTAAAGAAGAAATAAAAAGACGAAAAAGTTATTCCTACAATGTAGCAGCTCCAGCTGCAATAAAAGTATGTAGATTTAGTTCTGAATAAAAAGGAAAGTTTGTTAACTTGAAACCAGATTTTCTTTGCACTCTGGAAGTTTTACACCTCACTATTGCTTAAACCAATTTACAGCATCAACTGTGAGGTATCAAACATTACTTGCTACCTCTGTTAAGGGAACTGAGTCAGTTTGATCCTTGTCAGTAAAAACAGAGCAGATTAGTGACTCCAATAAGGAGAAAGAGCAGTAACTTAGGAAACAAGTGAGAGAATAGGTTTGGTGTGGGTGACTGCAGTGCCTTTAAAGAAACTGATGCAGGGCCAGATGACAGCTCTGACCCTCTCAAGATATTAAGGGACAGGTATTAAAGCTTAACATAATAAAATTAATTCATTTCAAACATAGGCATATTGCATGGCATAAGTTTTATAGGAGATAATCAAGGCCATCATCCATGAGGATGGAAGTAATTTTTTATAGCTGGCTGGAGATGATGGAAAACATTCCATAAATTATTGTGTGGTAGCTTACTGTCAACAAGACAGTCATGAGCACTTATGACCTGAATTGTTTAATTGTGTGTATCAATTCACTAAGCAGCAGGATTTAATCCTTTCCAACATGCTCTCTTTTTGTTCTCTGTTGTTTCTAACAGAACTGTGGTTTTTAATTTTACTATCTGGGCAGAGGTAACTCAGCAAAGGAATAACTTTTTTATAATTGCACAGTATAGGGATTACACTGAATCAGTGTTTTAGAAAGTTCTCTCTATATATCTATATATACATAATACACAACATCGGATTTATTAATTGAGAAAGATCATTGCAAAGTACTTTAGGACTGTGGAGTTATAAAAACCCCAGGTCCTGTTGATCAATTTGATTAAATTTTGTATTCATAATGAGCAAGAAAAAAAAGTTTAGTTTTCATTTTGAGACCAGCAAACCACAACAGGTTACGAGTAACTGGCCTTAAGAAGGAGATAGCAGGAAACCTCAGCTATGGAAAGATGAAAAACACCTTATCAGCAATGTAAGGTGTTATGAACTATTTTCCTGTCATCTACTCCATATTTGTATTCTTTCTGAGTGGTACAACGCAGCATAAAAGTGTGTTGCAGGCAATTCTTGCAGAGTATGAGAAACATAAGTTCAGAGGGTAACTCGTTCATCTCCACACACCCTTAATGCTCTCAAGTTGTCCGAGTGAGGGATGCTTACAGATAAGTCAGAACGATTATGTAAAAGCAAATCCTATCACATCGGCAGCTGACTGCAGAAAACTTACAGCCTGGAGCAAGGAGCAGCATCCATTTAGAATGAGACTGCACCACAGAGATGCATATTTTCAGTAACTGAACTCCATCTACGTTTCATGTTCTAAAACACTCTGTATTTTGTGAATTCTTAATGTAACTGTGTTCCTCACTAATGGTGTTCCCCCATATGGCAGCTTCCACAGATTCCAGGTTCCTAAAGCACAAGAAAAGTTTTAGAATTATATCCTACATCATGAATTGATACATTAAAACTATTCATTTGATGAAAGAGGAAAAATGCTATTATAAAATACAATTACTGGTCCTGCCTAAACCTGTTAAGAAGGAAAAATAATAACCCCTTTTTAGTGTAAGAACCACACCAACCTCACTGCTTTGTTGTTGTTTTTATTTTTGGCATGTGCATTTATCTGCTTCCAATTTCTGTTACAAATGCTCTCACAAAGGAGCATCCTTTTGTTCTGACTGTACACATTTGTACAGTTTGGTAGCTAGCCTCTAAGGCACTTCAGCTTTGTGTCTTTACACTTGTGGTCACTTATCAATGCCCTACTTCAGTCTGGTAATTTTTATGATGGGACAATGAAGAATGTCATTCTGCCTTAAGCACCAGACACCATAGTACCACTAGTGAATGGATCTGATAGTTCTACTAGTGAGTACATAACCACTGTCAGAAAAGTTTCTCCCTCTGCACAGCTCTGACCCCTTATCTGGAGGATGTGCAAGAAATACTGTAGAAAGTATCAAATCAATGTTCACTACTCGGCTCGGTATTGTTTCCCTTATTCATCAATGCCTTGGATGAGGGTGCAGGTCCTTCCTCAACAAGTTCACTGGTGACACCAATCTGGGAGGAGTGCCCAGTACCCCAGAGGGCTGTGCAGCCCTGCAGAAGGACCTTGACTTGTTGGAGAGATGGGCAAAGAACTTTCTGAAATTCAACAAAGGGAGGTGCAGGATCCTGCATCTGGGGAAGAATAACCCCAGGCACCAGTACAGGCTGGGGGCTGAGCTGCTGGGAAACAGCTCTGCAGAGAAAAACTGGGAGTCCTGGTGCACAGCAAGATCTCCTTGAGCCAACAGTGTGCCCTGGTGGGGCAAGAAAGTCAGTGGTATCCTAGGGTGCATTGGAAAGAACATTTGCAGCCAGTCAAAAGACATGGTTCAGTCCCTCTATTCAGCCCTGTTGAGGCCACGTCTGGAGTGCTGTGTCAGTTCTGGGCTCTTCAGTACAGGAGAGACATGCAGGTCCTGGAGCAGGTCTGGTGGAGAGCACAAAGATAATTGAAATACTGGAGTATCTCTCTTATGAGAATAGAATGAGGCCTGTTCAGCCTCAAGAAGAGAAAACTGAGAGGGGACCTTATAAATGCCGAGCAGTATATGAAGGGAGGGTGTCAGGAGGATGGATCCAGGCTCTTCATGGTGGTGCCAAGCAATAGAACAAGAGGCAGCAGGCAGAAACTGATACACAGAAAATTCCACGTGAATGTGAGGAAAAACTTCCTCGCTGTGCAAGTGGTTGAACACTGGAAGAGGTTTCCAGAGAGAGGTTGTGGAGTCTCCCACATCAGAGATATTTGAGATTCATTGGGATGCAATCCTGTGCCATGTGCTCTAGGATGCCCTTCTTGAGGAGGTAGGTTGGACCAAAGGACCCACTGTGGTCCCTGCCAACCCATAATCTGATTCTGTCATTTTGTGAAATCAAATGAATGTTGTCAAAAGGAGGATGATTTCATGAAGTCATCCCTGTTCAGTTTTAATCTGTTGCTATAATGCTTTCCATTAGTTGTTAAAAAGCTTTCAATTCACCTACACCTGAGTACTTGACAACTAACTGGTAAATTCACTAGATTTGAGTGCAAGCGACTAAAGTACTTAGGAGAACTGTACTATACAAGTTTAGGTTGATCTAAAATTATGAAAGTAGCGTCTGAGATGATAAAGAATCTTTTAACTTTTGTATGCTGTGCGAACAAAGACTACTAAAGGGCATAGAAAGTTAGAATCTTTTCTAGCAAGTTATTTTACAATAAATATGGACAGCACATCTCAAACTAAGACTGTAAAATTTGTTTTGCTATACTCTAAGCATTTCATACCATTTCTATATTTCTTGAAAATGTCTATTTTTATGCGACTCTATATGTAAAGACATATATGTAGCTAATTTACATGCATCTATGCAGGTAATCCCAAGAAATTTATGGGTTTTGCATGACAGCGTACATAATTAGAAAAGCTAATTGCAATCTAAAAGTTTATTTGGAACCAGGGAATCTACCAACGTAAAGGAAGTTAAAGTAATAAGTAATGGCAGTAATACATAATTTTATATATATGTATATGTATAGGTATAGGTATATGTATATGTATGTGATATTAATGAAATACTGACTTCCATTACTAAATGAACACCAGATACTATATAATTTTTTTACCAAAATGGATGCTAAGGGTGTGATGGTAAAGATGATTGTCCCATTTAGGAATGTTTATCCAGAAATAACATTGCTGTGGTTGTCAGGCCCACTTGGTGAGGTACAGATAGGATGCAATTCAGTTCGCCTACCTTCAGCAGCCTAGAAGATGGCTGCATATTCCAGCCTAAGGGATGACTGTCCTCTGCGGTGAGCATCTTCAGAAGGCAGCTGGCACCTCCTTTCTCAGATAGCTGGGGAATTGCCCTTCTGGAGCCAGTTCTTCCATTGATTACAGGAAGAGCTTAGAAGATTTATGCAAACAAGATGTTTAATTTTCATATACAAATATCCTCTGTCATAAGTTTTAAAAAAAACCCATAATTGTCAGAGTTTATTAAATAGTTTATTTACAGCAGTAGGGTGATCCGGGTGTTTTAAGCATAGAGGTGCCTAAATATTTTGCTGGACCTTGGTTTAAATATTGCATCTTTTCTCTTTCAGTTGCTGAAGTTGACCAGCCCAAGACTGCTTTCAGTAGCTGCCATCCTTCGTTTCCTGGCTGAGATGGCTTTCTAGGCTATTAAAATTAAAATGAGCCAGCATAAACCATTGAAATAATAGATCGTTTCTGCTTGCCTGCTTTGCTAACCAAGTCTCTTTGAAATAAATTAGGGAGTGATCACACAAGTAATTTAACCAGTGGATCTGGCAAGGCGGTGTTCTCTGGCGAGAGGATGGCAACAAACAGTCGGGGGTTGGCTGGGGTTGGTAATCTCTTCAGCTTGTCCTGTGGGAGCAGTAATGCAGAAACAATTACACAAAGCTCACAACTGTATCTTCTTTTGAGGCCATCATTTGTTTTCATCCAATAGTCTGCAGCCCCCTCATTTACCACCAGAAATAATGCTATGGTTTCCTGTTACTCATGTAAATATAAGCAAAAGAAAGAACTTCATATTCTAAGTAAATAAACCTTCCGGGATATGACCCATTTAGACCCACTTGTATTAAGAGCATGCAACTCTGAATAAGGAAACAAGTTTGCAGTTTACAGATTGGATTCTTACTGATGTTTTTTATAGAAAAAGAATGCCTTAGAAATTCAAAATAGTGAGATACTATAGAGAGAACTCCAGGAGTTGACATAATGTCAGAAAAAGAAAATAAAAACAAAAGGAGAAACTGCTTTACCAATGGTGGTTGTTTTGGCAAAGTCATCTTGGAATTTGATAAAAAAAAAGGTTATCTGTCTGTTTAATTTCTGAGATATTAAATGCTTAAATACTGACACTTATTCATTAGGTTGTGTGTTAATAAATCTATTGCTGGGAAACTTGTTCAAAAAAGAACATCTCTGCAGTTCCTGTGTTGGTAATGTAGTTATTTGACATTACTCTTATTCTTGGAGGAATCTAATTCTTTGACACAAGACAGATATTCTGCTGTTCAGCTCTCTTGTGCTCTTCCAAGTGTCATCCTGTCTTGCTGCTTTATGAACTACATGAATTTGATCTTTATGTAACTTGATAATCTATAGAGTTTGTGGCTGAAACATTTTTTCTGTAAAACGGTTGCTCAGATTTTAAAGTTCAAAAAATATCACCTATCAGTTAAGTTTGGCATGTATAATTCTTTGCATTTTAGATAATTCACATTGTTTTGTATAATTGCAGCATTGAATTTTTAAATAGCATTTTATTATGCAGTCAAGTTGTACTTTTTAAAAAGTATATTTGCAGTGTACAAAATTTATTAATTATTACTGCATTAGACATTTTTACAAAATTATTGACATTTTCTGATATTACATATAAATAATTTAGAAAATCTCTAAAAGGAATTCTACTTAACACAGCTGTGAAACTACTTTAGGAGGCTAAATAGCTTCCACACTTGCAAGGTCCTTACTTTTTTCTATCATATATTAAAATTTTCTCATATTTTTTTCTAATTGCACAGAAAATGTGAGCCATCAGTTTGTTCAAACTAATACTAGTTACTTTTGGCTGAATGTTTTTAATTTGTTTTGTGAAGAGAGTAAAATTTTTTTTTACTCTCCTATGATATAAATTTTGCACCATTTCTCATTAATGTGAGCAATCAGAATGCCACACTCTTTTCTCACTGTGGTGACTAGTCTTTGCTAGTAATTGAATGGTAGCCTTAAACAAGGTGAGGTCATGAAGCTTATTTATCTGACACCATGAATTCTATGCCTGTGTAAGAGGGAAAAAGGATGTTTTTTTGCCCTCAGGGTATTAGTCATGGTCCATAGGTTCGTGGGAAAAATGTAGGAAGTCTCAAAAGTTTGTTCCTATTATTACAAATTTTCTTAGACTCCATTTGAATCCCAAAGTGAATTTTCTATTATTCCTTTGAAGGGTGCATAGGAGGGTACCAACAGTCTTTGAGGAGCAACACCTGCAGTTGCATTCAAAGGCATGACTTTTCCAAGCAGCTTCTGAGCTGCCTGGTATTGTCCCAGGAAGGATAAAGGCCTAGGTTTTTACCTGACTGGCAGAACATTCCACCACCAATAGAACTCTAAACATTGTTTTAGAAGTAATGAGTCCTGCTGGTTTCATCCTGCAAGACCTTGAAATCCCACAGGGCAATGTGGTTAGAAATAAAACAGAAGGCTGAGGCTTTTAATGAGTTTCCTATCCACAGATGCCATCAAGCTTTTATACTATTCATTTTATTTCTACAGCTTCAACAAAGGAATCCAAAGTTGTGGGCAATACTCTGACAAGTGCAGTTCACAAACTCGGCAGAAATCTAGACTTTAGACAACAAAAGATCATTGAAAGAAGTAAAAGAAAAAGCAAAATAATTAAAAAAATGAACTTAAATATGGGATACTTTACTCTCAAAAAGTGAACATAGTGCAATTCAGACAAGTTAAACTGCTTGGAGCATAGAATGGCTGCAGGTTTCCATGATGTTTACAGAGGTTATGATGACAAAGAAAAGTGTACTGAATAGGGCCAACGAGAGGTCAGTGTACATTTTGGGGATATGCTTAAAGCCACAGTAAATTGACAATTCTCCTCATTTATCATTCATTCAAATCTGATTTTTTTTAAGTCTTCCATACAGTCAGAGAAAATGAAAAATTTTAATGAAGAAATATTGTATCTGTTATGAGAAGATGAAGAGAAAAGTGTCTGTACCTACATACAAGAATGTAGAATATGCATATGTGGGTTTGGGAGACATTACATTTTATAATAATTTTTCCTCATTTTACCTGAGAAAATAATAATTTTCAGGCCCTTTGTTACAGGAAGATCATTGCCTGGAACAAATGTGGAATAAAGAAATACAAGGTCTATGGCCTCCAGTCCAAATTGAATAATATCATGCTGATTGCCCTTGATTCATCCCTAATAAAATATGGAAGATTTTCTGACTGTAAGATAAACAAACTCGACAAGTTGGAAAATGTGCCTTTCACTTTAACCTCTCAGCCTCTGTTCAGATACAAATGAAAATTCTTGTTGATAAGCGCATAAATATTTTGTTCTCAGTATTTTTTCCCTGCAGTTGTCATGAACAAGTCTGTGTTGAATGCTTTTATGAGGTCCAAACCAGATCAAATGCCACAAAATGCTTTCATTGTAACATGGAAAGGTTTATTGTTCTAAGATTCCCAGCACAATTTTGCAGTCTTTGGAATTTTCACAGAAAGATAGAAATCCACTATAAACCAAACATCCATCAAGAAGAGTTTTTCTTTTTGAGTTGTGCATGTCAATGGTTTTGAGATGATGGAACTATTGATGACATATAAAAAATAGACATTTCTGAAAACAGTAACAGTAGGGACTCCCTATATATGTGCAATGCGCTGTTATCTATATTTCAAGATTTGTCTTTGTTTTAGTTTTCATTGATACAAGAAAACATGTAATAGGTAAAAAATCTCTACGAGTTGTGGAGAGCTATCAGAACAGATTATAAGTATCAGAATCTTTTCCTGTTCAGCACTGAATTCGGAAAATGGTATTTACTTCATATCTAGATTTATATGTCTGTAATTTCAGCTGTGGACTGCAAACATTGACTCAGCCTCAGCCTTTTGACTCATGACCAAGTAGGTTGAAATGAGGAGATGAGCTTGAATGTCTCAAACTTATGTGTGCGTTCATTCTAAGAATTTTCCAGGACTCTCAGAAACACTCAGACAATCAGCATTTACAGCTCCACATTTTGGCACTTCTCTTCTCTGAACATCTCTCGTTCTGTCTTCTGTTAGTCTCTTACACTAATTATCTGTACAATGTTTAAATTTTACTATTTATTATTGAAAAGAGACTGTCATTCCATCTTCACATTCTCTTTGAAATGTCTCTCTTTTTTCTAATATCATGTGTTTAAATTTAAATAAATCATGTGTTATTCATGATGTTGTCATAAAGACAGCAATGGAAGAATTGGCTTTTGAAGAATATTTGTTTTATATATGCTGTATAATCATATATACATGCATAGACATACGTACATATATTATACATTACTATACTATACATCTATTATACTATTACTATTACCAAACCTCATTTGTACAGAGCAAAATAGTGCAGTATTGTAGTGTTTTACCTTTTTCAATAAAAAATTTCCAGCTGTTTACAAATGAAGCAGCACCTAACATATAATGCTGCCAGTAATGACTAACCAGATGTCTGCAGATAATTCCCAATATTCATTAAGTATTACAGATTTTAAAATAGATTGAAGTTACTTAAAAATCAATGTGCATATTAAATGCATAACTTTCAGCTACACATTCTTACCACTTTCCATAAATCCTTACTCCCATATTTCTGTTTGCAAAGCTTAATTCAACACTTTTTGAAATCAATTGGCCCTTTCAAATGAAATTTTGGCATTTCTCAAATCTGAACATCTCTCTGTTAATATTTTACTAACAATGAGCAAATCATGCAAATCATTGATTGTAGCCTCTAGTTTTTACAGAAGTCTAAAATTAAATTCCAGACCTATAGCTGAATTTGCAGCAGCTAAATTGTCTGCTCAGCACTCCAGCTCCTTCAGGTAGGCTCTAGTTTGATACAGGAACCTTGAGCACAACATTTGGTTTTGACACTGGTATTTGGCACTCAGACCAATTTTCTAGAAATGTCCATACTGCCTACTATAATTTGATAATATCCTGGAGAAGTTACTTGATATTTAGTAATATGAATGAAGGAAAATTAGTATTAAAGCAATCATGTTTAAAAAATGTTATGATTTAAGTTTATGTGGCTGTTTGTAGTAAAGCCATAAAATTCCTTCTTTGTCTTTCAGTGAACTTCACACTGAAAAAAACCAAAATAAAATATTGAAGAAGGTAGATAGCTGGTTTGAGAAAAAAATGTTGCAAATTATATTTTTTTCTAGTTGAGTACAAGTTTAAGTGCTAACTAGTATTTCAAACACTTACCATGAGATATCAAATAGCATGTGCTTTCTATTTATATTGGTTACCAATCTCAATATTCAGAGGAAGAGTGTATAAAGTTAACAAGCAATTATTTGGCAAATTAGTACTCAACAACCCTGAGTAAATAGGAAGTTTGAAACCTATCTGTTATACAGCTACTTTAATTTGCATAGCACACTGGTGTGTTTGCTTTGCAAATACTTTGCAATGAATCATCATTTGTACTATACAGTCCAAAGAAAAGCAATCAAAATTCACAGCAAGACAATGAAATTAATTATAACTGTTGAATTCTGTGGTGGTAATTCCTCCTCATGCAGGAAGATTAATTGCATTGCACTTTCCTTGCACTCCACTAAATGATCTGATGAATGTATAATCATTTACAGATTTTTCAAATGCTGAAAATTGATTACCTTTGATTAGCTCTGATCTGCACAAAGAGCTCTGACAGAGTATCAGTGAAACATTACAACATTACAGACAAAGTAACAAATGATTTAATTACCAGTGTGCTTATTAATGTTAGATTCCCTGCAGTGATCCTGGCAAATCAGGGACCTGTAATAGACCTGTGGGTTTCGCTGAATTCCATTAGGGTTTAAATAATATTTCTCACTATTTCTCAAATCCTTCTTTTCATGGCTTCTTAATAACTCTAATTAATTCTAATTTGCACAAAAATCCACTGCATCTCCATAAACTTTTAATTAGATGTAAAGTAAAATAAGTCACTGCTTTCAGAGACTGGGGTAAATGCAAACTGTGGCTTTATGTGCTTCCAAATAAGTTTTTCATTAACAAAAGATATTTCTCTGCAAAGCTTTTTATTGAAAGTTCAGAACTAATTTTGAATTAGGCATGTGTTTCAGCTCTACACTTTCAGCAGCAAACATAATAATAGTTGCTTATAGATGAAGCGAGAGGAAAAAACAGGATGGTAAAATGTTTAGCTGACAAAATGGTAAACATAAATTTAATACTTTTTTATGTATTGCCAATATATACATTCACTCATTTTGTTAATTGTGGTAGATAAAACACTCTGATTAAGCAGCTACACTGTACACTGAAAGACTATTTGAAAATTAAATAGCAAAGGAACACTAGCCCAGTTACAGACCACGCTGAATGTTGTTGGCACAAACAAATCAGGCTTTTCTATGCTTATACTAGTGAACACTTAGATCAGTTCAGATTGGCAGCTTCTGTGGTTTTCTCTGGTTTTATGTCATTATATATGACATTAAATTATTATGAAGCAATGACAATGAAAACCCAGATGATCAGAGAAGTCAAACAGAGCTAAAATTAAGCTCTGTGTCTGCAAGTGTTTCTTAGAGAAAAAGAAAAACAAATGTAGGTAATTAAAAGCTTATTTAGCACTGAAGTATTAATACATAGACAACTTATAATAATATTTTTGTATTTCTGTTTTGTAGGAAAGGAGGGACTGTAATAGTGCAGGTGTTACTTTGTCATTCGTAATGCACAAGATGGAAAACTTAAAAAATAGAAATATTCAGCCCCCAGTGTGGATGATTACATTTATTACATTCACTGCTGTCAGCAGCTGAAAAGCTATCCATCACACTGAAACAGCGACGAGAGTCAGAAGTCTCTTTTTGTGGAGAAATATTGAAGTCAGATTGTTGATGTCAAAAGTCAAACTCTAGTTCAGCTATCTGTTTTATGAATCTGACTGAGACACATTGTGCCTGTGTTCAAACTGATATCTAGCAGAGCTCATTTTAGCAAATGTGTGATATAGAAGTCAGAAAAACATTCATACCAGCAAAATATTAAGAGGAAACTGATAGGGCACTCAACTGCTTTTATATTTAAATATCACATCATTCAGTAATAATGCATTTATTTTTCAGTGGTGGTTATAAAACTTGCTGTATATAATACAGTGATGTTATTGTGCTTTCATACAGTAACTACAAAAATATTTTATGTGCACAAAAGCATTTAAAATGTGACTGGTTTTACCGCACTAGCGTGGTTGACGTGGGTATAATTTTTTTCAGTTTATTTTGGATACACATACGCACACATACATACACACATACATACACGTGTGTGTATATATATGAGGGATGCATTCAAGTAATTTCAAAAGGCAAGCAGAACACTTACATGGAGATATACTGACAAAAGGATGAAGCAGTGCACATACAATAGCTGAGTGAGAAAATCCAGTGTGGTCATGATGAGGAAAAAAAAGAACGTATTAAGCCCTTAAAGACTGATTACATGTTCCCCTTTGGAATGATATGTATTTACTGACCGCAGCTACCATTCACTGTACTTTGTTAGAATAAGAGAGATTCTTAGAAAAGCAATTCTGAATAAAAACGTCTAAATGTATTTTCAGCTCTCTATTTATTCAGGTCTGACTTCTGGAAAAGTGAATAAATCAACTGCTCTGTTTCATTTCATCAGAATTTTTAAAACAAAATTTTACAAATAATTGGGAGGCAAAGCGGTTCCAGATAATAAATTGTATTCCATTAAAAAGCACTAAAAATAAAACAAGAAATGTACTCACAGCTTGGGGAGTACTACTTAATATGAGTATCTTCAGTAGTTTACATTGAATATTTTAAAAGCGTTTCTTAAGGAAGGTGCTTTCTAGCTGAGAGAAAAACGTATGCGCTACACGTTATTGAACTTGCTACCGTCACCGCAGATTTTGTTCTGTTTAACAAAAACAAGCACAGTTTGTGAATTCAAGTCAGGGAGTTCCTTTTATTTTTGCTAATTTCACCATCCTTTCTCTTTTTAAGCACAGCCCTCAGGGTACATGATGTAATGGTCACCATTATAGTACGGAACAGGAAAAAAGGGTATCATGAAATGCAGAATTGAATGGTATTCTTAGAAAAAAAATGTATGCCAGATTTTTTCCAAGGGAGCTCTACTCAAAAACAAACAAATATGCAGATACTGTAGAAAGCTTCTTGAATCATCATTAGTGGTTAGAAAAAAAATTGGCAGAAAGAAAGTGGACGGTTTAAAAAAAAAAAAGCAAGCCAAAATGGAAGGACTAATTCAATGATACCAGATGTAACACATGACTGTGGGGATTGAAGGGTCATGAGTTTGAGTCAAAACTCAACTTCGAGTTAATTGGCTGGCAGTGGGGCTGCACAAATTGCAGAGATAGAGTACTTGTTTCCTAGTGCAGGAGGTCAGCCTTCTTATGCATTTGCACTCTTTGCATGGCATCCAAGAACTAACACTTTTATTTGCTAGAAAAGAGTTTGCTTGCTTGTCATCTTTTTAAGGAGAAGAAAAAGAACTGGCTGAGCATAAAACAGAATGACACATTTAAAAAGATTCAAAAGCTGCTCTGTCTTGAACTACATGTATTTCCTTCTTCGTTTTTTTGTCTCTACAAACAATCCAGAAAACAAATGGTACACAATAGTTTCAGGGAATATTTTAACCCAGTGTTATGAATTCATTGATATGAAAACCATACATAAAATATGCAATCTTAACATATTTTCCCTTTGAAAAGACCAATATAGTTTTTTCCACCTTATCCAAGTTGAAATGTTATTACGCTTAAAAGAGAAAAATAATTGCCTCTACCGACTTTGCTGGGGGAAAGAAAATATAATGTTCCTTAAAACATTTAAATGGGCAAGTGGGAAGAATTAAAAAAAAAAAAAGCTTCTAGCTGTGTGCGTGGAAACTCTGGCTATGTGCCTGAGACATACAGCAAAAAACAACATATGGAACTCACCAGTTCCTAAAATCCTTTTCCACAAAATTCATGCCACTCCTCACCACAATAAAATGACTCACAGAGGGGTGTGTTTTATGCCTCCCAGGCAGAACTCCCTAGTCCACAATTAGTCTATCCATTGAAAGGCCAAAATACCTTATTGTTTTACTTGCTGTATAATTATCTGTTATGATGAACTGTGATTCTAAGGACTATTGTCCCTAGGCTTGGATCTCTGTGTGGAGCAGTTCCCTGGCTGAGACCCAGGAGTGGACCTTCCATTTAGAATCCATGCCTGAGTGATTTCTCCAGTCTCTCCCTGGCTGGCTGAAACAGGGACTGTTTCTGCATGATTTCTTGGGTTGATGAGAAGCAATTATGCCTTAAATGAAGTCATTCATGTCTGCCATTTTGTTTGCATATTTTTCAGCATTCACCTGTTATTAGACCTGTTTTTAAACTGTAAACTAGTTTCAAGTAGACTTTTGTGTCTAATGTGGTTTGGTAATCAGAAAAAATATATATGTAATGTTTTCTTCACAAATCACTCAAGCAGGAAATCTAATAGAGTGATTTAGAAGTAAAATAGCATTTAAGAATGTCCCAGACATTTCATTTCTGAAGTGATAATGTACAAAGATAATAATCTTGAGATATTAAGTAGGATTTTTAATGTGCATTATTTAAATAACCTTATCTGGTAGAGAAGATTGCCAAAACAGCTACTTTACTCCATTTAAATTTGGTAATACTGGTAGTGTAAACAAAATACTACTTCAATATTTAAGAATATATTTATATGTACGACAAGAGGATATTGTGTGCCATTTTTCAGAATTCCTTTAATCTCTTTAAACAGCCAGATTTTCTTTTGCAAAGCATTTACTTCTGAATGCTCCTAAATTATTATAAAAATTCCTTCACTATGTATAGAATCTTCTAAGTAGTTAACAAATAATCTTCTGCTTTCATTCTCAGTGTCTGGTAAAGCTTTTCCACAAAGCAGTTTCCAAGGTGATGTTAGGTACAACGCTGATAAAAGGTAGCCATGCCATGAAAACAAATACTGTAGAAAGACCTTTGTCAATTTGTATTAAGCTGGATATATTTTATGCTAATTTACCAAATCTTTTGTTGATTTGTCAGGCTTCTGAATGCCTTTTTTTTTTTTTTTAATGAAGATGAGTGAATTTTGATAGATGCAATTTATGTCTGAGTATCTCCTCCCAAGAAACAAATTACTTTGTCACATTTTTCCCCATGGTAAATATAAAAGACAAAAAAATATGTAGTCCTGACAGATCTTTATGTAATTGTAAAGCTTAAAACACAAACCAATTTTCAGATATTTGAATGAATTGTATGTGTAGATCGCTGATTAAAACTGTAAATGTGCTTAGAAAAAATTCTTCTTTTCATATTGAATAATCCCTATAGCAAAATATAATGAAATTAAACTGACAATATAATCTTGGTTTTTTTTAAAGTTTATATAAAACATTGGAAGGAAGTTGTGAGTACTTCTAAGTGCATAATTTATCAGGGTAGAAAAGGGTTTTTTATTGTTGTTGTGGGCTGTTTTTTTAGAAGAGACTTGTACTAAGGTGACCTCTACTGTTTAAAAAAAAGGCTTGCAAAAGCAGCCCTCTCTTAAATCATCCAACAATCCTAAATTGCCAAGACAGACATGGATACTGCCGTGCTTTAAGCTATTTGTTTAATTCACTGCCGTTTGGATGACTACAAATGATTTTAAGGTTTCTTTCTCATACACTGGAAAGTTCCCCTGCCATTTACTTCCTAGCCATTTGCGTGCAAATTCTGCCTGTACTGGGATCTCTGCCATTAAATTTTCTTCACACTGAAGGGTTTTCTCTGCTCCTGGTGGGGCGAAGTCATGACCCAGAAAAAAATTGATTCATGAATTCTCAGGGTGCAACTAAAGAAGAGAGGAAATATGCCTTGGCTGAGCTCCTACTAGTGACAATTTAAAACCTGTAATTAGTTTGGATTCAAGCTGCAAAAGGAATCTGAATTTAAAATGCATTAATTCAAACTGATATATTAACTTTAACAAAGTAGATCAATTATTATGTAGAATCATTATTACAGTCTGTTTTGCTAACTGTTGGATTCCAGACTTTATTAACTTAGATTTTATTAGAAAATGCAAGTAATTGCTTGCGAACACTTTATCTATGTGATGGTTTTCTTGGTGAAAAAGAACTTTTTATTGAGGTTAGTTAGCTTTAACACCTCAGTTATGGATTCTATTTTTGTAAATTCCCATCATCCGCCTGCTGCACAATGGTTGAGGCCACTTACCCCCTGCTGGTATCAGGACCCCACATCCCCTTTAGCTAACTCCCTGACATTTCTATGAACTACACAGCTGAAATGTTATACAGTAATTAATGTTGATCCTAGCACACACACAGCCTCCAGTACAAATTAGGATAGAAAAGGTTATCATAATATTTTGCTAGACTGTTTGGTAGACTTGAATTGCTCCCTGTGGGGGACAAACAAGAAAAGGTATTTTTAAGATTTGCATGCTGGAGGAGCATCCAGGTATTTTTATTCAGATAAAGCAGAAACTGTTTTGAACATTTGGTCTGGGAAATGTTAGTCTTCCTATTGGCATGTTTTGATACCTGTGCAGTTGGAGTCCCTTAGGAGCAGTTAGCTTTAGGTATGTGTTTTCAAAGATGAAACAATGTATGGTGACTAAAACTCTTAACCAAAGCTCTGTTATCTTCTGGAGTTCAAATCCAGGTACAACCAGCAGCTGGATCCTCTCGGACTGTCAGTGGTGTCTGAAAAACACTCAGAGACTAAATAATTTAGATTACACCATTCTGACCTGTATAATTGTTTAAATGAGTAATGCATCCACTAACTGAAAGAGGTCAACCATCTGTAGAGGAAACATAGAATTTGGTTTCATTTCCAAACAAACTTTTGAAGCGCCATACTGTGGGAGGTAGGGAAAAGTCTGCTGACAGATCAATGGCTTATCTGCTACACCAAGGTTAAAACTTCTATCACTTGTAGAAAGCAATGTTAATAGAAAATGCTCCTGAGAGAGTAGGCTTAGCACAAATAAAACTTGATCCACTCAATGTGCCATTAATTGTCTTTTTTTAAATTTTTGTGCTTTACAATGAATGTGCTTTAAACAGTTGTGATTAGTATTGATGGATTCTCATTAATCACTAAGGAAGAACACAACCTTATTTAAATATTTTTGAAAAATTAGATTCAACATGGAATCATGGAATTGCTGGATAGTATATGGCCTGCCAGTTTTCTTTTTCTTAGGAAAGGAAAAACCCTACAAAAATTGCTGTTACATTATGAATTACAATTTCACATCTCTTCTGAAAATGTGAAGAGAACAGGTTCCTCATCTAGGAGCAGGCTTTTGTGTATTTGTGCCCTGAATCTTTTTATTTAGAACATATAAGTATATATATTTGCCTTTCCACTCATGCCTTGAAATGCCTGTTTTCATGAGTAAAAAAAAATTTTGCATGTGAAAGGATTTTTTTTTTTTTAATTTAAACCCCAAAGTACAATTTCCCCTACCAGTTTATGCACAGCAAGCACAAGGTAAAACAATATTCCCAATGACTACTGTCATCTTTGTAATTTCGATAGTGTCTGTAGTGGCATCAAAGATTTTCCCTGTCATTTCCTGTCTTGTTTTGTTTGGTTTTATTTTTTTAATTTTTTTTATTAGAGAATATATTTTATATGCAGGCTGAACCTCACTTAACACTGCACAAGATTGCAACTCGACAAACATATATTATTGAATGACGCCATTCATCACATTCAGAAACAGAAGTGAAGGCCAATTTCATTTAACAGACAGTGTGAGGACTGCTGCAGAATGAACAAATGGTACTTTGTAAATGTTGCCCCACTCATTTATTAAAGCTCTCTTAAAAGATAACTGCTCTTTGGAGATACTAGACAGAATATAAGTTTTCATACTGAAATTAAAAGTATATTTTCCCCTGAAAACATGCTCAAAATCGTATAAACTCACAGAAACCAATACAAATTGATGAGCTGGAGAAATCCATTATGATTTCTCACCCAGTGGTGAACTTCATCCTTTTATATGGGTGAATTTGGAATTATCCCAAAACAATGGTTACAAATCCTCCTGCAAAATTCTTACATACTTGGAGGCTAGAACAAATTGAGAAGAATGTTCTCAAAACACAATACAGTAATGATGAAAAAGGACCATGTCTGTGTCTGAAAAAATATTCAACCTTTTCAGGTTAGGACTGGGTTACCCAGACTATTCTAGTGGGAAAATATTCATCACAGGTCTGAGATTTAATGTGTCCCTTTGTCTTTATCTCTGAATTCTTTGCAGCTCAGTGCCCGAACCTGAAGCAGTAAGGACTAAATTATGTCCCTCCCAGGACTGCTTTGTTGCCAGATACAGGTTTGAATATAGGAACCCATAACCTATATTCTCTATCACTATCTATCTCTATATTCTCAATAGACATATTGGCCATTATAACATAATGTATCAGATATATGTTGGCCTCTAGAGATACAGTGAGACAAAGCAGAAAGGGATGATCTGAGAGTCAGTCAAGGATGAGAGCATGAGCTGTAAATCTCAGTCTTTTGTAGGCACCTATGTCAAGACTTTAGAGAATCTTGACAGGTGTGCCAAAGGCATTGACTGGGAATAGGTATGCTCCAGAGATGGACATACAATGCTTGTTTTTGTAAATGAAGGATGTCTTGTTAATCTTGACAATTTAAACTCTGAACCTGAAACGTGTT